CATGCGTGTAAACTGGCAACCAATTTAAAAATATCAATGAGTTCTTTCCATCTGAATTATCGGCCAGGGTGTTTCCTTGGTAGTTTTTCCGAAAGGAATGGAGTGTCGATTGTGTTTTACATATTTCACTTAAGACGAAAATCTTTTAAATTATTTTGTATTCTCTTCACTAGTTTAGACAAAAAAGCTGACGGTTATGTTTTTACACACTTGTTTATTGACACTTCAAAACTTCAATAGCGTCCATTCGTTCAGAATACCTAAAATTGAAAGAACGCTCGGAAATCGAGAATTTAGGCCCGAATTCGCAGGTTAGGCCTTGGAGCAGATATGAGCCGAAAATTGTACGCTATTTCCTAAAAAACCTGGGAATGGGCCCTCAAATCACATCTAAAGTCGTGAAGAAAATAAGACTTCTCCCAGGAATGGTGGTGCCACGACCCTACGGATATGCTCCTTGCGACGGTTGAACTCTGGACTTTCAGTACGAGACCACCAATAAAAATCAGGATATGGTGGACGAAATCAAAATTGGTGTTCAGCAGCAAAGATAATTGTCTTTTTGCTTGTTGGGCACGATGGAGCAGAAAAATGGGATACGCCAGCGACTTGTAAGTCTATTTTACGTTTTTGATTGATTATAATATGCTGTTAACCTGGATTAGCATTTTAGATCAATGCTACTACGATAGGATCGGGACCTTGACACTTCCACACTAGTTTTGGCGATATACCGTATACTATGCCAGAGGAAAGTGATAGGGATGAAGCCACGAATGATTTTTACTTGAAGACAATATACATAATAGTGTTGTTAGGCAAAGCAATTGTTTGCTCTGAGATGTTGCCTTTCACAACATTTCTTTCATTTTAAGGGCATTGTCTTTCTCGAATTAAGCATAATTCAGGGAACAAGATGTACGATTGAAGGAAGCCTAAAATAAAACATTATTCCCAGTTAGTAAAGTATTCCTTAGACAAAAACGTATATTATCACTTAGACGGTACACAATATAATTTGTGGTGTGACCTTTCGCAAAAATAGTTCGCACACAAATGGAATACTTTTGACTTCTTATGTGCTACTGTCATTGTCTATTTATCCTCTACTGCACATTCGCAAGTCCTTTTTGTTGTTTTTAAAATATCACATGATCAAATCTGTCCTTTCTCTCTATTGCTTAATTCCCTTGTTCTTGAAGTTAGTTTCTGTATTGTCCGGCTGTGTAATATAAAGTCAAACAATAATTATTGTTTACGACTAGAAAAGCCAGGAAATATAATACGTTGACAGGTATAATGTCGTCTTTGTCGTTGAAGGAGTTTTTTTTAAATTGGTCGTCCTATCCGTTTTGCGGTCAAATTAAATAAATCACATATGGAACGTGGACTGCTAAAGTAGTATCCGGTTGAGAAAGGGGGTGGAGCAGTCTGCTGTTGATACAGCTTCGGTGAGGAGAAAGTCGGAATGAATTCTTCTGACACTGTAATGTCAGGAAGGGCTGCGTCTTAAACTTGCGTGTTGTCCTATTTTGCTTCCGATTAGTTGAGAATTTTGAATTCTTATCGAAAAGGGTTATTGAGCCTGCTGCTCTAATCTGATTATTTCAGTAAATATGACGTCTTCTTGTTATAATAAAGTGGCTTCAATTTGTCACGGGGCTAGTGTTCACACTAACCAAATTAGCTGAAATGACTTAATCTTTACTTTGGTACTTTTGAGTATATCATCCTTGCTACGTGGAATTCATCTTAAACTACCGATAAGCTTACTTCCTCTCTCCTGAAGAGTGATATCAGCTGCAATTTGATTTTAAGTCTATGAAATAAGAGATTACCCTCCATGGTTGTTCACCTCTTTTCTACGGACCCATGTTCTGTTGTCTGATCTTTATGCATGACTTTGTAGAATGCTTGATAAAAATTTCGAATTTCATCAGGCACCTTTCCAAAATTTCAACGACTAATTTATTTAATGGATGCATTTTCATGAAACTTTACTCTGAAAGACCTTCCTACTATCTTTTCTAGCATGTTTTGCTTTTCTGTAAATGAAAAGTTTTACAGACAAAGACAGGAAAATTGAAATAATCATTTCTGACGTTTTTACTAGCCATGCTGTTAAGTTTTTTAAGACCCTTACGAGAAGTCACATATTGACTTACCTGCTGTGGCTACTCAGCGTGACTGTTCATATTTACAGAAACAGTTTTGTAAGGTTTTATTCAGTGACTTTGACTGAAGGAAAAAATTCAAGACAAGTGAGTCGCATGGCCGATGCCTGTACTATCTAGTATACTTAGTCGCTCTTCGGGCGTTTCTTAGCCGTGAGTTTAAAGCGGTCCCTAGTAGTTTCTTTTCTTGTGTTTCCTAATCGTGTGGGGCCCCTGCGCCCACGCTTTGTTTTTATTTGCTGCTTTAATAAACCGTTCAAATTAATATGAAATCTTTGAAAAAGCTCAGTATTCAATCACTTTCCAGTCTTTACAATATTTACTTAAGTTTCCCGGTGAGGAAATTTGCGCCAACTGCGACTCAGGGGTTGTAATCTGTACCTTCCTTTTCATCGACTTCTTCCACTGCTATAACTGAAATCCCTTCCAGACTGGCCATTTGATTCAAAAAAAGAGTATTAATCACCCGTACAATGGTAAAAATCCGATTTTCAGATTGTGTCACCGAAGCAAGAGGAAATCATCGGCCTGTCTTTATTTAGAATCTGAATTTCCGAATGACATTTGAGGTCGGGTATCTTCAGAAACTGACGATTACGATACGCCACCAGCACTTTATAGTAAGGAGTCAGTTGTGCATGCGTCGGTTCGTACCGTCGCGTGTTTTGCTGACGACGTTTAGCTGGTGGAGGGATTTTGCAGCATACGGATATGCTATAATCTTTTTGACTTCAAAGTTGGTGACGCAAGGGGTTGGTATTTCACTTCGTTTATGAATGAAGTTGGTCGCCTGCACGATATGTTTTCAAAGTCGCCTAAGTTTGAAGGGAAGTTAGACGTGCCGGTCGATCGAGTAGGTTTCTTAAGGCCACGCATCCTGTACCTCTTTTGACGTGTAATCTATCGCTTCTACCTCTATCTCGGTCGCTAGTTCAGTGTTCGCCATCGGTGAATTCTAGTCGGACCCCCGCGGCGTTAGGTAATATTTGTATCTTTCATTCTCTGTCTGCTAATAATCCATAGCCACAGCTTTTTCATTCCTCGCCAACTCATTTGAATGTTTTTTCAAATTCCTATTCCTGCACAAACCTTGGCGTTTTAGATGTCAAAAAAGCGTGAGGCCCCACCTGAAGGCGAGCGTCCTGCTACTAAGAGGCCAAAACAAGAAGACCTTTCCGTCCTTACGTCTGACCCAACAGGTTCGTGTTTTTCCTCCCCCCTCGTCTGACTTCGCTCCTATCACCAACCCAGGTTTGGCCGTATTTTTGAAGAGAATAGAGACGGATACGGATTACGACTTGGTATACGAGTACCTGTCTACCCAGAAGGGTGAGGAAATTTTGGCCCTGCTCGAAACTGGTTACGAACGCAAATTCAATGAGGTAAGATATTCCCACCCGGGCGCCTCATCTATCCCCCTTAGCTTACTGTAATCCTCAAAGTTTTGGCTATTCTTGTCCTCCGTACAAACACTGATCTTGCCAA